GAGGCCGAGCAGAGGATCGGTAAGAATCATTGTTATTTACCAATCCTCCGTGTGCAGCACAAACACTGGAGTGATTGTCTGATCACTCCAGTGTTTGTAAATAACTGGGGACACATAGTACTGTGTCCCCCAGTTATGAATGAACAGGAGGTGATTTACATCACTTCCTGTTCATTCATTAATTTCTCAATGGGTAGAAGCACTCAGTACAGAGGCTTTTCCCCATTGAGAATCTGCTTGATAGTAAATGTCTTAGTATCAGCAGCTTGTGAATGAATGGGAAGCCTCTGTACTGAGTGCTTCCCATTCACTGGAGTGCTGAGGCTGCAGAAAAAGACATTGAGGGCTCTCTGTCCACTGTGTCTATTTCAAAAGGGAAATGTCAGGGGTCTGTTTAGACCCCTAATATTTCCCCGAAGCTCCCCCAACAGCAAAATAATAATAATTAATAATACAAAAATAAAAAATGTGTACATAAAAAATTGACAAAAAAGCACAAACCACCCCTCCCCCACATAACAAAAACGTGCACCATATTGTGGTGTACGCCAGGCACATGCGCTGCAGTGCGTTGTTAGAACACATCGCAGTGCATGATTTTTTTCTTTTGTAAAAAAAACATTAATTTAACTGTGGCAGCGCATGGCAAAGCTTTGTGAAGCAGTGTATTAAATATAAGCCTGTATAATTTTATCACAACACAAACACCAACACAGCGCAAAAAACATTTATAACATAAATTGCTTATTTACAGTTTAGCGCTACTTAATTTTTTTTATAATTCCCCTTTGCTCAGCCTGTCATTGGTGTGGCAGTATTAAAGTAAAGTGTTAGGCCTCATTCAGGCGCCATTCACACCAGGGCGGAAGCATTTCACCGTGGTTTCCGTGCGATTTTTGAAAGAGCATTTCTGGCTGTTTTTAGTCGTGGTTCAGTGCTGAAACACAATTAAAAACGCTCAAAAAAGTGCTGATCAGCGCATTTCTATTAAAATGGGGGAGGGGGGCCTTACAAAATTTTGCTATGGGGCCCTGGGATTTCTTTGCCCTAAACCCTAACCCTGTCCCTCCCATATTTGTGAGTTCCAGCATCTCTGTTGTATTCTCCATAATAAAAACTGAATGAGATCCAATAAGAGGAATGGGATTACCTCATAATGGCCACGTAGACCATGAAACTTAAATGCAGGTAACTCGCATATTGAGCCCAGAGAGAAGCTCTCCAGTATCTCCTAAAAATGACCATACAGGACTTGGGTGGACAGGCCATTTAAGTGGAAATTTTAAGGTTTGTACTTAGTG